AAAAAACCTTCCCCCCCGCTCCCATCCGACCCCCCCCCCCGATGTTTGATGAATTCGGACATGCACTCGATAACATACATATGGCAGGGACAAAAAAAACACCGCAATTCGTAGGAGACACAAACACAAAAAGATGGGCCGCCTAGACACGCAAAGCTACAGTGAGGAAGAGACGGAAAGGAGGAGCAGAAAGGGTCTCCCCATGAACCGACAAGAGGTGGACTACGAACGTTCCCCTCACGAGTAGGACAAACGGGTTCCGGATCAACAAGTCTTTGTAAACGATCAAAGTGGCTACCGCAAAGCGAAAAAAACGAGCCCCCCCCCCCCCCCCCCCCCCCCCCCCCCCCCCCCCCCCCCCCCCCCCCCCCCCCCCCCCCCCCCCCCNCCCCCCCCCCCCCCCCCCCCAACCTTCCCTCGACATCTCCCGGGTTGCGAGTCCCCCACTACGGGTGCCAAGGAGGTTGGCCACATTGGTGTAGTTAACCCCGTAACTCTAGATTTCAATATCTTCGTGGGCCAACAATCCCTCTCTCTCACGCAGCGCACTTCGGCGCAACAAAAACGATGCACGGCCTAGCATATCCCATTGCCTAGCGAGCTCTCTTGGAACACGGGCGCCGTATGTTCCCATTCAATCTTGGCCCACCCATCAAGCGGCTCCGCAGAATACATCATTCCGCTGAGACTGAAACTGCTATTGCTCTTCACGAGGTGAAGCTCAGGCATCCGTGCTGCAACAAAACATACATACCAAGAGGCGAACCACCCCACTCCCCCCGCTTCCGACAGGCAAAGACACGCTTACCACAAGCCCCCCCCCTCAGCAGCTCCTGAATCGTCGCCCCAAACTTCGCCCAGGGCTCCTTCTTGCGGAGCCTCGCGATCCCGCAGTACTGCACCGAGAACATGAGCGGCGTGACCCTGCGTGGTTCGTTGTCGTTTTTGTGGGCTCTTGTTGGTTGCTCTTGTTCTCCGCCCGGTATCTGATATTGTAACGTCGCTATAGCCCGCGGGGCGGTCACAAGCAGGCCAACATAGTCGCAGCTGTAACAGCTCGAAAAGTCTCCCAAGAAACAAACGTTAGTGTGCTCTCTGTCCGCCCATGGCGTACGCCAAGGATAACACCTGTAGGATCGCTTTTGTGAGCCTGCGTGCGGGCGGGCGCGTCTTCTCCAATGCAGACAACAAGTTCATGCGCAAGAAAGCGTAAAGAAACAAGAACACTCACATCGTTCGGCAGCTGGCTGCCGCCAACGTCATCCCAGTTTCGGCATGCGTGCATCTGTCTCCCTGGAGGGAAAAACTACGACGACTCCTTCACCACTACAAGTACAGCTGGAAAGCTAACACGCACCCCTCCTAGAGCCTGGTCCGGTGAGAACCCGGCGTGCTCTGTCCCGGCTTTGTAGGGATGCGAGGTCAATGGTCCAACGAATACGGCATGCACGACTATGAGTACAACTCCCCCCCTCCCCCAATGTCTCGACAGCCACCACCGCCACGCACCTGTTGTCATCTGAGTCGAAGCGCACGTCGGCGTTGGCGTTGGCCTTGAGCAGCTCGTGGACGACGCGGTAGTGCCCGCCGATGCACGCGAACATGAGCGCCGTCGTGCCGAGGCTGTTGTCCGTGTCCTCCGTCCGCGCCCCCGCGAGGGCCAGCCAGCGGACGGCATCCTCGTGGCCGTGCTGGGCCGCGATCATCAAGGCGCTGTAGGAGCGGTAGCAAAATGATGGTAGAGCCGCAGGCGACGGTTGTTGAGGTTGCGTGGGTACGATTGCAAGGAAGGTCAGTTGATGTAGGTGATTGTTGTTGTTGTTATTGTTGTTGATGATGATGATGTTGCGTGTGTGGTGAAGGCAGTCTGTCCAGGGGCGGGCAACGAATGGAGTCGGCGCCCCCCCCCGGCATCTCTTCATGCCAGCGCCTGGTCGATTTATCANGGGGGGGTGGAAGCGGACCCGGGTCAATCGCCGGAGAGAGAGTGAGAGACTGAGCGAGAGAGCGAGAGAGGGAGAGAGCGAGAGAGCGAGCGAGAGAGAGAGAGAGAGAGAGAGAGAGAGAGAGAGAGAGACTTCAGTTTCTCCCTTGTTGTCTGTCGCCTTTCCAGGTTTACCAAACTGGAAACAAAAACGTCCTGCATCTCCGCGCGGGAGCTTGCCAAAAATGAGCCGCGACACCGCGTTTCCCCCCCTTCATCCCAGGAGGGGTAGAAGGCTCTATATGTCGGCCTTTTTCAACCGCGATGAAGGTCGCCTTCGTTGGCCGGAACAAGATCTACAGATCACCGATTGACGATCTGTTGGTTCCTGAAGAAGAAGAACAATAGGGCACTCTTTGTTACAACGGTTTGGCNGGGGGGGGGGGGGGGGGGGGGGGGGGGGGGGGGGGGGGGGGGGGGGGGGGGGGGGGGGGGGGGGGGGGGGGACTACACAAGGCTTTTCCCGCGTCCTGCAGAGTGTACGTATGAAAACCCAGGAGACTGGAGGCCATTTCACAAACTGGGCACCCAAACAACAAGCCGAGGCCTGTGCCCAGCAAGCGCGCAACCCACATGCCGATACAACTGATTCCCGCTCAATCGGTACTCGGCGGTGGCATCGACGGAAAACAAAGGCGGAGCAACCAACCGTGGGTTGGGGAGGAGGGTCCGTCTTCTCCGCGGGGCGTCAATACGCCACCATGCGCCCGCTGTGTACCCACGTCCCCTGGTTTGAACTAGTCTCAATTCATGAAAGAGATCACCAAGGGGGCCTTTTGCTCCGACACTTCCACCAGCTCCAGAAGTCGGTACGAGCATCTTCACTGCTCGTCGAACTCGGCCAATCCGTGCGATAGCTCATCGAGGTCATTGTGTGTTTCTTGCATCTCTGGGCCTCGGAACCCTCGTTCAGCGTCTCCAGTTTACGCGCCACAACCTGGCATGAACTTCCATGACTCTAGACCCTGGCCTGAAGGCCCATTATTTTAGTCCTTCCAATACGCATCTTGACCTTACGGTGCTGTAGTCGCACGATCTGTCTGGGGGTGTTTAATCCTGTATGCAAGCTACACGACACACATGCCACGTCGAGTCGTGTTTGTCAGGAGGATGCAGTAGCACACACCCAACCGCCATTTGGCACAGCAATTTATCATGCGCAAAGTGCTGTGGCCAGTAACTGACTACATGTGGGGCAGAAACTACTACTGCTGTCTGTACCACTGCACATGTTTGCACGCCCGCTTGCCGACGCATCTCGGGGATACTGCTGCATCTTGGTTCTTCTCTTTTGCTCCTCGCTGTAAGAAAACACCCATTTTCTCATAGCCGGCAACTGCTGCTTGCACCATTGTGGTCCTCAAAGACGACGGAAACTTTCGCGAAACAGCAGTTGGGTTGGCGGTGAAGTGCTGCTGTACACGGGGGGTGTTATCTTACGAAGTGGTAGGATACCGCAGTAGCGGTATGCTACATGTACGACTCTGCAACGCACGCACTCGCCTCTCCCCGTTGCTGTCCCTCTTGTTCACGTCCACCCCATCCAGAATGGCCGCCTGGATGAAATCCGCATCTCCGTTCTTCGCCGCTTCGAAAGTCGACGAGCTGGTGCTGGTGCTGGTGCTGGTGCTGCTGGCGTCCGCTGGTTGTTGCTGGTCAGCCGATGATGACATGTTACAGCAGCACCCCGCAACCTGCGTTTGGTGCAGGCGCAGTCTATTTTCACCACCAAAACACGAGTCTGTGCGAACTGTTCGTGTCGCTGCTGACTGTAGTTTACCTCCTGCTGCGTTGCTGTGCCGTTACCCTCCCCTCGCTCTGGTGTGCCGCTGCTCCGCTCTGCGCACGTGTCGGTGACCGCTTCTGCTGGCTGTGGCGCTGTGGCATGTGCGCGCGGCATACCCATGAACTGCGTGCGGTACAGCTGCCTGCCGACTGCCGACTTCGGACCCCCAGATCTCCGACAACCTCGAATCTCCGAAAATACAATGGTTGTATTGTCGGAGGAATGCCTGTCACCAGCTGTCCGTGATGAGAGTGAAGAGGTTATTCCAATGACCCAACGACCAGCCAGAGATCCCGGCCCTTAAACACATCCAGTTCGAGTTCGAAGGGAGCGCAAGAGCCCCAACACACGAGAATCGCCGCACACGAGGCCACCTATCAGTCAGGTAGACCGCGGAACCGGAACTCTGGTGGCGGAGAGGGGGGGGACTTTTGGACGAGCCAAACGAGGAGCCTCGTTTTGAATAGATCCACTCGCTCTCCGAAGGGAGGATTACATCCTTTTTTCCGTCTTGGGCAAGTGCTGCTGTGAAGTGCAGAGCTAGGCCCCTCTTCCTATCGCGACACACCATGGCCCGTCTGCACACAACCCCCTTGGCGTCCATGATGGTGCTGGCCCTTCTGCTGCCACCGGAAGTCGCGGCCTTCGTGCCTCCGATCTCTGGTGCATCATCTCCGGCTTCATCATCTCTTCGCGGGCGGCAGAAGGTTGCTGTCAACACCAGGTGCTCGAGGCAGAACATTATCATTGCCCCCTTCCGAACGCTTGTATCGCTTGCTTTTGGCATCCCCCCGTCCTGCCTCCCCCCTCCCCCCCCCGGCGTGCTATTGGGAACAGCAGCGGTGCTTGCTTCGTTTTGTGACGAGGGGGGCGGGGAGGTCGGGACGCTTGCTTCCCTGGATGTGGATCTCAATCTGAAGAAGTTGAAGTTTGGCCTCCTGCTCGCTTGGCACATAGTTGCGCTTTCCACCGATCAAGAACGCACGCGGTATCAGGGGGGGGGGTGCGTGCTAGCAAACGTAGTAGGCTCTGGATAACCGTCCAACTACACCCGACAGGAACACGCAAGCAGGGGGGAGAGCGGGCATCCATGGAAAAACTCTTAGAAATTTGAATCTTCGGCGAAAGCAGACACGGAATTTTGTTCTCGTCACTATTCAACATCGCGCTTGACTGCTGCCCTCCTGGTTGATGTACATACCACGCAGTCTCACCGCTTCATGTTCCGTCTTTATTCGATGCGCAGACTATTAATAACCAACGAGCACCACTTCACCGGATACGCACCAAACAACCAAGAGTCCCCGTCCTGCCACCATATGAGTGTGTAAACGCCAACGTGGCATGGCGGTATCTACACTATTATATTCAAGTAACAATTGTTGTCTTAGATGCCCTGGACAACAAACAGGGTGGATGCAGCAAAATGTCAACATGTCAACATGTCAACCCCACTACGCAGCACGACGGCAGTACGAAACCATCTGGCGGGTAGTATGCATACGAGAAAAATTAACACGATTACGCCGCATGCCCCTCCTTGCCCCCCCCCCCCCCCCCCCCCCCCCCCCCCCCCCCCCCCCCCCCCCCCCCCCCCCCCCCCC